AACCTAGTCCAAATGAGGTACTGTGTCATTAAAACAATCACGTTACTGACAGAATAATTTTAAAAAACGGTTAACAACCTTAGCAATTATAACTCAAGTTCACAGCGAGCAACAGAGGTAAAACTATCATTCCCCATGAATTGTATTTAACTAATTACACCATCGCTTGTAATTCACTTTTACGACCAAAACAATAATTTTCAGATACACAAAGTAAATAATGCATGCTATTTGTTAGTTAACAAATATATATACTAGGCTTAGCATGTATACCCGATCAATCCAATTGTAAGCCCGACCAAGTTTCCTTAACCTGCTTTGATTGTACAACTGCCACTCACGAACATGTTCACATATTTGAGCTGTGGTTAATTTTCGTCGTTCACCTCCATGAGTTAGGAATCCACGGAGTAAACAGAAAAAGCCATTTTCTGATCTACATAAAAAGGAAATCGCTAATCATGGAGGAATGGGATAGATGGTAAAATAACTGTGTAAAGCAGTGTAAATGTCAACCGACAATGTTACTTTTTAAGCTGGATTTCTTAACAACATTGGAAAAAGCAAAAAGGAAACAAGGGTAGTGGAAAATATGTTTCAATATTCAGCAACACACCAACAGTTCTTCAAATGAAAACTCAAAAACTTTGAGCTAAACAGTGAGTACACTATAAGTTGAACCCTTAAGCTTGATAACAGAGGTTAACATTAATATAAGTGTAAAACTTTGGCACTATGGTAGAATGTAATTTCATATTAGATTGGTTTATTTGGTTTGATTATGAGCAATAACCTATGCTCAAAACATCATCAAATAAATAATACTGTTACTGTGTTCTAAATCAAATAAATAGATCTAATATGGAAAAAAACATACATTTTTAATCCCAACTTGTAACATAAAGCATTTTTTTCTCCACTGTTAGTCAACAATAATCTAGCTGTCTTTAATATGAGCATCCACCCAAACTCAGTAAAGACATTCTGATAGGGGAAATATGTTCTACTTGGTCTTCCTACATATCTATTTATGTCTCGAAGATCACCTAATCAAACTAAAAAACTTAGATGATACGGGCGTTCTAAATGGAGACACTGACTGAAGTACAAGATAATCTCAGAATATTTGGCCTATGGCTCAATTACACAATCCGAAATACTGCTTTACGATTGGTCTGCACGTGAGGTTGCTGAACGTGTCAACCAAAGAACGATGAATGAATTCACCAACCCAAAATATCGGAAGTACGAGTAAAATATCTTATCAGTGATCAGAAAATAAGTATCTTGATCAGTAACACACTTATGATATATAGCCAAAGTATTCGGTCACCAGTATTTCCGAGTCATACATTAAAGTTAGCGTAACTGTGAGGGCAACGATGTTAAGGTTAAAACGTAGAATTTTAGGTAGGAGTTAGACAGCTGATGAAGTTCAGAAGGTGTATAGAACGAAATGGATGGGAAATAGTTTACAGGTCCTGAGCTCCTACCTATTTTAATCTGCGTTATTGACAAGAGTAGACGAAAGTTGAAATTAGTTACAAAATGACCAGGAAAAAACATGACATAAAGATGATGAAATTATAGTGTTGGTTCGAACTGTGCAGAGAATTTCAGACCCTCTGACTGAAGTCCAGCAGAAGCTTGGAATCATAAGTTAAAAAACAGACAGTACAACGGGAAGATGTTTGAAATAAGATGCGCTCAGTTTACATCAAGACGAGAAGAGCGATTTACAGAATGATTTGAACTCATAGTTATTTCTCATGTAGATAGGTAATTCGAAGCAGGCTTCAGACCCGGCTGTTTGTGCAGCGATGAGGGCTCTCAACTCGAAAAACCATAGTCACGTTACAGCCTATGCTGAGTTATCAGGTCAACGACGTAAGTCGAGTAGTATCCGTAAACGATGCTCACTACATCTATTCTCATTCAATTCCACCCTAGGCCTACTTATTTATGGTGGTCTCCCTCTCGTCGTCTGACTTCACAGCGATTGACCAAATCACATGGGGATCATTGGTAGGTGTAGAGTACACAGGTAACATATTCTTGTTAGATGAAGGTGATGACAAAATGCGGAATTTGCCGGAAACCTTGAGTAGCAATTTCAGAATGTTTTGGATGTGTTTCCCATCACCCAACTGTACATGGTTTAACAACAGGCAGTGACACAGTTGAGTGCGTTGACCACTTCGCTTATTTAGGAAGTTACATCATCCCTAGCCAGTCATCGACCAACGAAATCTCTACACACATACAAAGGGCTTAATCGGCTTTCACCAACCTACGCCATTTATCGTGCCACTGGGATATTTCATTACATATGAAGAATCGAGTGTACTCTCCACTGCAGTTCACTTCGTTTTACCATATGCCTGTGAAATATGACCATTAATGGTCGTGGTAGAGGACATGAGAAGGCTTCAGGTGTGTTTGACCATCATTGCCTTCGTAGCTCGGGGGCAGTGTGTCATGATGTCACCACGTCAGTAAGGTAGAAGTCAGGCATAGACTTTTAGGGAGAAGAGGAAAGTCAGTTGATAAGGTTGTGAATTTTCATCGACTCAGGTGGATGGGCCATGTGTCACACATTTCTAATCACCATCTCCCTCGTTAGCCTAGGTAGCTGAAGGCTGGTAGAGGTTAAAGATGGCCAAACTAAAGTATGGCATCAGTCCATGAAGTTTCTGAGTTTTGGTCTGAGGCGTGTGAATAAATGTAGACTTCTCTGTTGGTGTAAGCACGACAACAGAAACGAGTGGTTGGAGGTCTTAGGTTAAATAACTCAGAATCTATCACAATTTATCTATACATTGTCTTCATCTTAATCGTTAAACTGCATTTCAGTAGTCGCTCATATTTCCTCTACGTTTATCGACAATCTTTTGACTGATTTCTTTATTTCTCTGTCTTTGATCTTGGGGCTCTTTTTTTATGTGGCGATATGGGATGCAGCAACTGGGACCACTACGCAATAATGCCAGATTCAATGTTGATTTTTCTCTTTGTCTTTATGTGGTGAAACAAAAAGTTTACTCGATATGTTTTTCGAAGCGAAGTACTCTTTACATTTGATGAATCAAAAACAACTTTACACTTTGATTCAACGGTTAAGCATAGTTAGAAAAAGTACAAGCTAGTCAGTTCATACAGTAACTATTATTGCGGCACATGAAATGTTGTAGTTGAACTCTAAAGCATAGTAGAAAGCATAGAACTATGATACTTCAATACTAATTATTGAATAGGGTTCGAACCCTGTGCCACATATTTCTTTGTATACAACTGGATGGGTAAAAGCATAACTCCTTATAAATAAAATATGGTTCATGATTCAGAATATAAATATTTATTAGACCATTGAATTGTCTGCAGTGTGAGGTTCAAACAAGCGGCAACCCATACTAAACAAGTTAACAAAAGATTTCATCTAAAAAGAAACAATGAAGTAAATAAATAAAATGCTAGGACCTCATACTAGGAAACTCACTTTGGCCAGCTCTTCTCGAGGACTTTTTCCGTTTTTCCATTAGTTCCTGAAAGTTGATATAAATTTTTCATGTAACTTTGTGAGACTACTGGATGGAGCCTGCGTGACACTGATCCTTTTAGCTTTTTGCTTGCTAGATTATTAGAAAGTCGCTCTGACTTTTCAGCTTCGAGCAAACTATACAGCTTTTCTGTGTTAAGGACACTATCTTTAGTGGTACTTTGACGCTTCAAGTGTGCCTCAATTATCTTATGAATATCTAAAGATGCAAAAGTCGAATATTTTTATAAATACCAAAGAATAATTTATCTAACAAGGACAAAAACTAAATAATACACTAAAATTAAATCTTGTTTCAAAGTGATGCCCTAGAGCTCTTCGCATAACTACTCATCGCTATCATATCCATCTAACATGAAATGTTAAAAAAATGAAATGTTCTGAGAAGGACGACTAACCACTCAACTTCAAAAAAATGGCTGCGTAATTTCGTCATCAACCAAAAAGTCAACCTCAGAAATCAACAAACGAATTGTCCTACCTTACATGAAGAACATCTCTGAGACCAAGACTAGATTACTGAAGCCTTTTGGAATCCCTGTATCTTACAAACCCATAAAATCTTTCCAGTCTCTGTTATACAGGCCAAAAGATACAATAGCAAAGGAAGACAGACCAAACATTATCTACAAAATAAACTGCAGAAACTGCGAAAAACAATACTTCGGACAGAGTGGTTGCCTTCTTCGCATCCATCTACATGAACACTAACTAGCAACGAAGCATCATGACATATCTTCGCTCATATCAATGCATACAGACGACTGTAGACATGAAGTTGACTGGGAAAATGTGGAAATCCTAGACGGAGGAACTACAAAGAATGTCAGAGAATTTTTAGAAGCTTGGTATTTAGGTCAATCAGCGATCAACAGATATGCTGACACTGGCTCAATCTATCGACCAATAAGAAATAATAAGATCAAATTTCAGGTCATCAAGACAACCAATCAAAATAAATATGGAGATGACAAGACCTTGGCAAAAAAAATCAATCACACAAGGGGCCATCAGGGCAAAGTACTAAATAAATTGCGGAGAAAACCTTATTACTCACATTTCTGAAGTTTCTGTTAATGTTGTCTAGAATGACAACAAAAGCTCCACATTAAACAATCCAGCTCATAGAAGGCAACATCAAAATTATCCTCCTGAGCTACAAATATTCTGTCATCTTAGTAGGTGTATATACGGCATCATGTCCTGAATCAGAAAGTGCATTATTTTGTGCATTATATATGCGTATTATTTCTGTCAGAAAATCTCCTTATAATAATGATTTATTCAAACTACATTGATTTCCTAACAGTCGATTCATTTGAATCACCCTAATGACTGTTTACCAAAGCTATTAAAAAGTACTATAAACTTTTGTCAATGATAGTTGTAGTGGCCCATATTTCCTTAAAAAGAATGAACCAGAAAAGATTGATTTTGTAACCATAGAACTACATATGAAACTGCTTGAAACCGATTACAGTATTTGTAGGGCTGTGATGAAATTTCAGAAATGCAGTCAGGACGGTGTGAAATCGAAGGGAATGGATGAGCACGTAATCTTTGGAGGTGATATTTTCTCAGCAATACATTTCGAGGCATGAAAGAAATCGAATCAGTCATCATCATCAACATCAACATGGGACCAGGCATTACTGCGTAACGGTCCGAGTTGCCACAGCTCATATCACCACACCAAGTAAAAAAGCAGCGAGGTGCAAGATGAAGATAAGAAAATTCAGTCCAAAGAAATATAAAGTATGAGAAGAGAGAAAAAGAGGATGAGAAAATGGTGAGATTCGGCATAATGTTAAGACGAGAATAATGTGTGCATACATCTGCGCCACTGACATCGGTTCTCAGCCATATCACCTAGAGTCTCCAACCACTGGTTCCTCTTATCTCGCGGACCCCAACTGACTAGTCTGCATCGCCCCACATGGCTCAAGCCAACAGTCAAAGACTTCAAACACTGATGCCATGTTTTGGTCTGGCCGCCTCGAGCCCTTTTCCAGGCTGAACCCACTTCGGCCAACATTGTGTGACGAGGCAATCGGCGACTACGCATACGTAACACATGTCCCAGACAGCTATCTCAGTCGATGAAGGTTCACCACCGTGTCAACTGATTTACCTCTTCTCCCCAAAACTCTACACCTGACTTCTGCATTACTCACATGGTGACACCACGGAATACGGCCTATACTACAAAGGCAACGGTGGTCAAACACTTGAAGCCTTCTCATATCTTCCACCTTCAATGGCCATGTTTTACAGCCATACAGTAGAACAGAGCGTACTGCTGTGCAGTACACGCGACCCTTAATAGACAGACGAACATCATGGCGGCGCCATAGGTGACGTAGCTTGGCAGAAGCCAATCGAGCCTTTTGTATTCGTGCAGAAATTTCGTCTACCACTGAGCCACCAGGGATGAACCAACTTCCCAGGTAAGTGAAGTGTTCAACACACTCAACCACTTTACTCTCCACTGTTAGCCGTGGCACCGCTGACTGCCAATCGTGGAGCAACAATTTGCATTTGGGTGGTGAGAATCGCATCCCAAACATTCTCAAATTGACACTGAAAGTGTTCAGAAGACTCTGCATCTTGTCAGCCTCTTCACCTAACAGCACTATGTCATCTGCATATTCTACGTCTAACGAAAATTCTCCACCGATTAGGTCAACCTCTGTGTAATCAGGTGACGAGAGGGAAACCTCCATAAGAATATCTAGGTTAAAATTGAATAAGAATGGAGACAGTGGGCACCCTTGACGGACACCACTCGATGACCACAGCTGCCCGGTATCTCACCATAGGCTCTAACACGCCCACAAGTGTTCGAGTAGATAGCTTTCAATATGGTGATGTACTCACTCGACACGCCTTTCAGTGACAGACATTGCCATAAGACTTCTCGATCAACGGAGTCGAGTGCTGCCGCCTTCAGGTAGAGAAATAAAGCTATTGTCAGGCGTCGGTAGGCGTGTCTATGTCCCAGGACCTGGTGCACTGTGAATACTTGGTCGATACACCCGCGGCTTGGTCTAATCCCTGCCTGGTTTTCTCGGGCTTGTTGTTCCCGAGCTCCAATCAGGCGTCGAAGAATTATAGAACCTAGGATCTTGGACACTATGCTCGACAGGCTGATCCCTCTGTGGTTATCACAAGAGGACTTCTCGCCTTTCTTGAAGACTGGAATAAACAATGATTTAGACCAGTCAGAGGGAATCGTATTTGATTCCCATACACTAGTTAACACTTCCGTTAACCTGACTAAGACCACTCTACCACCATCCTTGTATACCTCACGAGTTACTTCGTCTGGTCCTATTGCCCTTCCTCGTTTCAGGTTACCTACTGCTTTCTCAACTTCTTCTGGTGTTGGAGGACCTATCCCTATGTCCCATTCAGGATCCGACTGGATAGCGGGAAACGTAATGGTGGCTGGAGGCCAGTTAAACTGCTCCTCAAAGTGTTCTGCCTATCTTCCCAGTCGTCTCCCCTGCGAGTGAATTGCAGATCCGTCCTTCTTCACTATAGTCTCACTAACTGTTGTTGACCTTCCCCCCCCCACCCAGTTTCCTTCATAAATCTAAATATTTGTCTCCTGTTACCAATCGCCGCCACCTTTTCCATCTCTTTAGCCTTCGCTACCACGCCACTGTTCACGATCGTTGCGCAAACTTTTTCTCAATCTACGTTTAAGTTGTACTTGCTCTTCATTGTACTCAGTGCCTAAAGGCAGTGATGCATTCGCGTGCATCCATCAGTTTGGAAGAAGCTGCTGATATCCACTGGCTCCTTTGGGCCACTCTTTCGGAGTCGGCTACGGTCTTCAGCGCCGCTTTTACAGCAGACTCGAGATGGCAGTAAGCTTCTTCTGGATGAGTGGTAGTCTTTTGTTCCGATAACTGCCTAGCCAACTTCTCACTGAACACGGCTTTGGTGTTTTCGTTGTCCAGCAGTACGTTCAGCCGGGACTCCAAAAGTCCCACCTAAGTGCCTTTCTGTCTCACTCAGTCTACCCACCTACTGTGCATTCATATCACCTGCAACAACCACCACGTCCAAAAGTTTGGCCACCGAAAGGAGGCTAGACACTTTATGGTAGAACTCGTCCTTCCCTTCATCCGAACTGCAGTCAGTGGGTGCATAAGCAGAGACTACAAAGAGACAACGGCGTCTCACTATTCCTTTTAGTTCTTACTGTGCCGTTCAGTCGGATAGCGCAGAGGCGACTATCAACTGGGATCCAGTCTAGTAGTGAGTTTTCTACCCTAGTGCCTAATGCTATTCCCACACCTGCAAGACCACGAGAACTAGCTATCGAATCTCCAGAAACTCGAAGGGTGAATTTTGTGGATTCACCAGATTGGTCAGGAGAGGTCAGGTGAATAACCACACCTGAGTCCTGTATGCGTGTCTCACAAACACAGCACACATACATGCCCCGAGTTGCCAGTCTTTGTCAACGAAGCCTGTTGACCAATTTGACGGAGGGTGCGGACATTGAAGGCTCCAATATGTAATTTGGAGCCTGGTTTAAGGAGACCAGGGATGCTGTTCTGTGAACTCAGATCGTTGCAGAGCTAGGAGAAATTGGAGCTGATATAGTATCGTTAACTGAGAGACGTGAAGCAGAATTAGAAGGTAATAATGAGGAAGGTTGATAGCAGTCTGAAGAAACTTGAGTGCTGACAGAGTTGTGAGGTCGGTTGGCATGATTACTTTGAACTTTTGTATTTTTAGGGCTGGATGGTCGAAAAGAAACGACAACAACCAACACCGCCGGCCCGGCAGACCGTGAGGTATGGTGAGGTGTGTTATTTTTGGGGCCGACCTTTCCTAAGATCTCCTCCCTACACTGAGAAGACAGTATCAGCACGGCACTGCTGGTCATCCAGAGGAAACACCTTACTGCTGTCACACCCCATCTAACTAGCAGCAGTACGATTTCGCCCTCAGACCCCCATCATAGTGTAGTAATCGGTAGGTTGGCTGTCAGAGGAAAAACACCTTACTGCAGTTAAACTTCTACTCACCCGGCAATATTTCACCTTTCAACCCCCAACGCAGCGAGAGTCAACTACACAGAGATGGTAGCGAATTTTAGTAGTATCACACAAACGAAACAAACGTAGAGCCTCGCACACAGATAAGATCGCCTCAAGCCGCTACACTTCACAGCAGTAAAAACAGAACAGGTGGATAGAAAAACAGTGATATCAAAGTACACAAAGTTGTGTGAGAGAATAAACAATCTGAAGATAAAGGTTAGTGCAAATAACCAAGCCATTGTAACCAATTTTTAGCCATGTCATCAAAAGTCCTCAACCACTCATTCCTTTCGTCTTGGAGACCCAAACAAAGCAGTTTACGTCACCACACACGACTCAGACCAGGGAATTCTCCGGCATGCACCCACGTCTTGATCTGACCACCCACCTCGAACCCTCTAACAAACTAATCTAACTCTCCCTAGAGTAGCATGATGAGGTACGCGGTGAATAGGCATGCGCAAGACATCTCCAAGCCATCTAAGCCGATGAAGCTTCACAACCTCATCAATTCACTTGCCTATCTTGTCCAGTAGCCCTCACATGACCTCAACATTGCTCACACAGTGATTCCACCAAACGCTAGTAATGTTATGAAGACACCATGTAACCACTTCATGTCTTCCGTTGTTAACGCTCATGTCTCACAGCAGCAAAGAAGGACAGAACAAACTGCAGCCCGGAATACTTGACTTTGCTAGGTGGTCGGATATCTTGCCAATCCACGCAACACGTGACGCAGTATGGCAAATGCCAAACAGGCCTTCTGTATCCGAGCTGAGACTTCATCAGCAACCACCTCGTTCGCGCTGATACAATCCACCAAGTAAGTGAAGTGGTCGACACATTCCATTACTTCACTCCTTATTATTAAACTGGGAGTACTTGCAGCAATCCAGTCCTGGAGCATCACCTTACATTTGACATGTACCAGTGAAACACATGCCAAACATATTGAGATTTCTGCTCAAGGGGTTCAGAATACCCTGCATTTTGTCGGCATCTTTATCCGGGCAGGACGATATTGTCTACATACTCCAAGTTAACCAGATGACCTCCACGTAGGTCAATCCCTGTGAAGTCAGATGTACCTTAGGTTATGTCCATTAGTACGTCAATGATGACGCTAAATAGGAAAGGTGACGATGGACAGCCCTGGTGAACACCTCTACTTGTCGTCAATTCATATCACAACTCTCCGCAAGCACTTACACAGCTACATGAGTTCGAGTAGAGAGTGTTGATAAGTACTATATAATTTCTCGATACTCTCTTCACAGCCATACCTCACAGTAGTATATAAAGAACAGGTGGATGGAAAAAGACTGGTACCAAAGTAGACAAAATTGTGCGAGAGAATAAACTATCAAAAGATAAAGGTTAGAGCAAATAACGAAGCTTTAGAAGATGTCAAGGAGTGAATACATCTGCACCATTGTGACCGATCTTCAGATATGTCACAGAGTCCTCAACCACTCGTTACTTTCGTCTATAGGACCTTAACCAGTTAGTCTACATCTCCCAACATGACTCAGACCAATAGTCAGGGAATTCGTCGACTTGTGCTACAGCTTAGTCTGACCACCTTGAACACTCTTCCAACCTAATCCAACTTCCCCTAGCATGGCATGTCCAGATAGCCGGTGGATCGGCATGTGCAGTACATGTCCAAGTCATCTCAGTCGACTGAAGTTCATAACCTCATCAATCGACTAGTCAGTCTTGCGTAGAACCCTTCCCCTGACCTCAGCATCGTTTACATAGTGATTCCTCCAGACGCGAGCAACGCTACAGAAACACCTATGATCGAATACATAAAACCGATTCCTGTCTTCTTCTTTTAACGGTCATGTCTCACAACAGTACAAAAGGACAGAAGGAACTCCACAGCGACACAGTCGTGCGTTGATAGATAGTTGCTCATCTCGCCAGTCGACGTCACACGTCACACAAGTTCTTGCAAATGTCAAATCGGTCTTCTGCATCCGAGCTGAGGCATCACCAGCAACAACCCCCTTCGGGTTGACACATCTCACCTAGTAAGTGAAGTGGTTGACACATTCTATTACTTCACTCCCTATCATTAAACTGGGAGTACTTGCAGCAGACGAGTCCTGGAGTATCATCTTACATTCGACATGTACCAGTGAAACACATGCCAAACATATTGAGATTTCTGCTCAGGATTCCCTTTATTTTGTCAGTGTCTTTATCCGCCAGGACAATATTGTTTACATATTCCAAGTCAACCAGATGCCCTCTAGGTAGGAAAGAAGGTTAATCCGTGTAAAGTCAGACGTACCTTAAGTTATATCCATTGGTACGTCAATAATGAAGTTAAGTATGAATAGTGACGGTGGACATAGCTGGTATATACCACTAGTTGTCGTCAGTTCTGATGACAACTCGCCATAAACCCTTACACGGTTGTATGAAAAGCTTGATTAGTGTGATATACTTTCCCAATACTCCCTTAACAGTCAAACACTTTAACAACACCTCACGATCAACAGAGTCACATGCCGCACTCAGGTCAACATATATGTCAAGTGTCGGTCACCGGTAGGTATGGCTGTGTTCGGGAACCTGTCGAAGGGTGTGAATATGATCGACGCACCCTCGTTCATCTCCGTTTGGAAGCTCCCTTGTTTTCTCGAGTTTGCTATTCACGAGCTTCAGTTATGCATCGGTTAACCATGGAACCTGGGATCTTGGATACAATATTAGTCAAACTAATTTGCCTATGGTTGTCACAGAAAGATTTCTTTCCCTTCTCATACACTAGGATGATAAAACGAAATCCACCAGTCTGACAGCACTATCTGTGATTCCCATACACTACCTCCGTCATTCTGGTCACCAATTTCCTACCTCCATCATCGAAAACATCAGGTGACAAACTGTCATGTCCTGCTGCTTTGCATCGTTTCAAGTTTGATACAGCCTCATCAACTTCAAGGAGAGTCAGAGAACCAACATCAACGTCCTATTCACGTTCAGGCTCGATGTTAGGCAACTGAGGCGATCTTGACGGTCAGTTGGACTCAGCTTCAAAGTGTTCTGCCCACCGTCCAAGCTACCTGCGACCTGCCCTAGGAAGCCATCAGCCTCCCATCCTTCTCGATGATGGTTTCACTCACCATTGTCTTCTTCTTACCAGTATTCTTAATCAGTTGAAATAAATGCCGAGTGTTACCCAATGCTGATACTTTCTCCATCCCTCTCGCTTTCGCCACCCGCCAATGCTAGCGATCGAAGCGAAGACTCTTGGTCAGCTTACTTTTAAGTTGTTTACGCTCTTCATCGTAGTCACAACCAGCTGGAATCAGTCTTCTCGCAACAATCAGTTTGGATGACGTCATGGAAATCCAATGACGATTGCTAACCTTTAGATAAAAGTTATCAACTGTCTTCACCGCTACTTCTACAACAGACTTAAGATCATGCCAGATTTCCGAAGGAAGAGTATTGTTGTTATTTTCAGATAAATGCTTAGCTAAATCCTCTCTAAATGTGTACATCGCATCCTCATCTACCAATCGATCACAGAAGGACCTCACTGCTTCCTGTTTGCGGCGGTCAGTAAAGTGCTGACACACACGACCCCGTGATCGGAGTCCGAACAGCTACTGCAGGAAGGGCAGTAATCCACCAACGACGGCTGAATGATAGGAATATGATCTATCTGTGTCCACCGTTGGTTTGATGTCTACGGACGCCATGTGATACAGTGTCTCTTCTTGTGTCTTAAGTTAGTGCTGACCAGAAACAAGTGATTGTCACAACAAAATTGCAACAGACGATCAGCATTGTCGGTTCGTTAGCATCGGATTCCACAAATACTCCTAAGATGCCTTGCCGATTGGCTCAGTTCAGTTTCCCTACTTGAGTGTTAAAGTCACCTGCCATTATGATGACATCTGAACGTTTTGCTTTCTATAAGAAAGTTGACAGCTTCTCATAGGATTCACTCTTTGCATCATCTGAACTGCAGTCGGTGGATGAGTAAACGGAGATTACGAATAGGCATTGCCTAGTCTCACGATCCTTCCTAGTCCTTAAAAGTTCTCTTCAGTCAAACACCACACAGTAGGCTGTTGACCCTACATTATCATCATTATCAACATAGGACCAGGCATTACTGCGTAACGGTCCGAGTTGCCACACCTCATATCAGCACATCAAGTAAAAAGGTAGTGAGGTCAAGGATGAAGATAAGTGAATGCAGTCAAAAGAAATATAAAGTACGAGAAGAAAGGAAAGAGGAGTGACAAAATGGTGAGATTCGGTATAGCGTTGTTAAGATGAGGATAATGTGTGTATACATCTGCGCCACTGACTTCGGTTCTGAGCCATATCACCTAGGGTCTCCAATCACTGACTGGGTCTTGTGTACTACTAGAAGCACGTATGCGTGTTTATAACACTGCTGTGTCGTCATCAGTAATTTTTTGCCGTGTAGACACAAAATCAGTACACAACCTCACACACAAGTGTACCAGTTCAAGGTGCCACATTTAACTATAGTATGCAACGAGCAGGGGAACAGAAAACAACTCATATCAAAGTACAAAAAGGCACATGGAAGGAGAAATAATTTGAACATTAATTTGAAGGTTAGTGAAAGTATTCAAGCTTTAGAAAACGACAAAGAGTGAATACATCTGTGCCACTGTGACCGATTCTCAGCCATTTCACTAAGTCTCAAACCATTGATTAGTATGGCTTCTTGGACCCCAGCCATGAAGTCTACATCTCCTTACACTGCTCAGACTAACAATGTCCTCATGCACGGGTGTCACGCCTTCTTCTGGTCACCTTTAGCCCGCTTCCAAACAAATCTAACTCCTCCTAACATTGCACATCGACGTAGGTAGGAGATTGATATGTACAACCAACGTTAAGGCCACCTCAATTGCTGAACGTTTACAACTTCACCGACCACTTTCCCTTCCTTGCCAAGTACCCTTCGCCTAACATCTACATTGCTCACATGGTGATTTTTTTAAACACGAGTAATGTTACGAAGACACCTATGTTGCAAATCACACTGTCTTTAAAAAACTTGATATGAAGAATCTTTCTAACCTCTTGCACAGAATTTTTGAAAATCTAGAATACGTCTCGCACCTGTCACCTTGCAATACAAATACCATGACTGAGAAAAAATTTTCTCGACACTAGATACTCCCATATTCAGCAGCTACAAATCATTCTTATTGAAAATGCCTTTGTGTTTTGGTAAGGTATGGCAACTTGAGCTGGTTTACTTCTTCGAGACAGCCTGTTAAGTCACCTTATCTAACGCTTACCAGCCTTCATACACTTCATCAAGTTGTTATGATTGGAAACTACCATCATTCGTTAATCTAGTATGCACAAATTCCTATGGTTCGGAAGTCTAGTAGCGATACTACTACGGATGCAAATGACTGCGAAATGCAGTCGACCAACCCCTGGAGTTAGCAGATATCACCAAGATAGCGAGTGATTATTTAGCAATAACCACTCTAATCTTCCTTTTGAGTGGTAAAATCCCACTGTTTATCAGCTTATTTGGTTTAAGGTGACTCCTTTATATAAGCTATGTGACTAGAGTCTGAATAATTTCTTCCTTGTAGATAAATGTGAAACATAATAGTCATTGGTTTATGAGAAACGGTCGTTTACAGTCCGAAAGGGATTCAACAGAGCTGAACTTAGACCAAAACAATTGGAAGAGAACCGAAGAACCTCAAGGAACTGAATGTTTGTATTCAACCCATCGCACCGGATTATTAATCTTGACAAAATTCCTGACGGCATAATTATCCCGTTTGCTTTTAAAATTAATTTAAATTGCGTGAAATAACCACAACATCGTTATGTAGTTGAGTTACCTGGAGATTCAGTTTCATGACAGAAGACGGGAATAATAAAGCAACAAAAGCAAGATCCAGACAAAACATACCAAGTTTGACAGCTTCATCATTCACTGGAGCCGATTTAAGACCTTTCGAGAGCATTTCAATGTTATTAATCAATCTAAATTTCGACCATCACGGAATTGACAAATCCTACCTCTGGAAACGATTAATTGCTTTCCACTCAACCTCTTTAACTAGTTCTGAATAAATATTTGCATAATTCGTTTCAGAAAGGGGTAGCTGATCACATGACTCCTATTTTAAGGTATTTTCCATTCGGAAAAAAAGGAATATACTTGACTATTTTCCACCAATTCCTTAGAATCTTTAACCTGACGCTGCAAATGGTTCAACAGAAACTTTCGCCTTTCTTCCAAAGCTGCGCAGAACTCCATCACGATTACCACACAGTACTCAATGCTTTTCAAGGACGTTTGGCCTGTCAAATTTGTCAACCAAGGTTGAGATACGCTTTAAGGAACTTCAACCTTACAGATTTCAATATGCTGATTCATACTTCAAGATCAAATTGACTGTGATGAGTTAGCCTTAACAACCTATGTTCAAATGTTTCAAATGGTTCAAATGGTTTAAATGGTTGTTGACGAGAAAGAAGCTTTCGTTTAACTGGCTGCAGCGTCTACAATCCGTGGATTACTACTCCTTGCGGTTGTTAACCTGCGTACAAGCAAAGAAAGAGGAAAAAGTGGCGATTAAAATGTGAAAATTCAATCAGTTCTGGGCAGATCTTAGTCACACGTCAAGTGGGTATCCAGTCGGCGTTTAAAGGATTCAGACGAAGTAGCCTGGATCACATCTTCAGGAAGAGCGTTCTAGGGTTTGACAACTCTTAGGGACTAGAAGTTGTGCTTGGCATTCAACCTGCTGTGTTCCAGGCTTAGTCTCTGTCTGTGTCCTCTAAAATTAGTGCTAAGATTTATTCAGTGACGGAGTGGGTAGCCAGTCGTTCTCCATATGTTTTAAGCCCAAGTCTTTGGACAGATTTTGTCGAGTGCCTCTGGATGCTTTCTAAGCTTAGTTTGTCCTTCTAGGGAGATAGGGGAAAGACGATGGTCCCAAACTCCAAATGAGGCCGCACAAAGCTGTTAAAAATTTGATGGAAACATCCACAACTGAATTGTCCAAAAACTCATCTAAGAGTTATTAAGGCCAAGTTTCCACGAAATGCTTTTCCGTCGCAGCTGGCAAAGGATTCTAAGTTTTGAGGGATTAAGACGCCCAAATCCTTCTCTGTCAGTGACACTTCAAGTTCCATGCCATAGAGGCCACATATGAGATGCATCGTGTTTCACCATGCATTACTCAGGATAAAATCCCAGCCTGTTGATGACTGCCCAGTTTTGAATTTAGGTCTTCCCGTAGAGAAACACAGTCGTCTTCACTCTTAATTTCCCTCCAGAGTTTCACGTCATCAGCAGAAAGAAGGATTTCCGAAGAAACCAGTTGAGGCAAGTCGTTTATGTATATTGGAAAAAGGAGAAGCCCTTATACTGAACCTTGTGGGATACCACTAGGACATTCTCTTTTTTCGGACACAGAGAGACCCACTTGAACTCTAAAGAAGACAACCAGCCAATGAGCGGAGGTCGAATCCCGATCGATTTCAATTTATCGATAAGGCAGTCGTGATTCACACGATCAAACGCTTTAGCAAAATCTAGGCATATAACATCAATTTGTCCTCGACGGTCAACAACGCTAGTCCACCTGTCTACTCTGGTGAGCAAGTTGGTAATGCAGGAGTACCTCTTCGAAATCCATGTCGTTTGGATGCAAATAAATTTATCTTTGTGAGGTAACTCCTCACTACATAGTGTATTAACGATTCCATTACTTTGGGAGGAATGGACAGAAGTGTCACCGGTCTGTATCTCTTTGGATTGCTTCGTCTACCCCCGCTGAAGATTGGCGTTATCCGGTCCAGCCTCCAAGAGTCATACATTTTCCCCTGAGTCAGGGAATTCTCAAATAACCTGCCTGAAGGTTCGAACAAGGTCGAGGCTCCCTCTCACAGTGCCGATGCACGGATTTTAGATCATTTCAAGCCTCCACAGATTCCACAAGGTAATAGCTACGTCTGATGTCCGTTCCATTGTGTTCTATAAATAAATTCTCAGTACCACTCCCAAAAGTGGTTTTTGAGCCTAGCTTAGAAAGATGAGGAAATGGTCGACCCAAAACATTGTTAGGGCTTAAGTAAATTACCGGAAGGTACAATTAGTGGATTCGAAGAATTTGACTCAAAAAGCTAAACTACTTTGATTTGCCAAATACGACCAAATGACAGCCTATTTAAATTTATGGGTCAAATCTGCTAATTCAGATCGGTTTGATACTTATGGGTTGGAAACTTAGTCGACTTTTAGAGGATAAACTGTAATTATGCGAATAGACCAGAAGTTTCGGCTGGATTAACGTATGAGCTGTTACGACCAAATAATTAGGTGAGATAATGCGATAGACATATATGTAGGCAGATGATAGCAGCAGTAAGGTTGCCTCGTCTCATTCTATCATCTGGTCATGTACCAGCTTATTCACTGCAGTAGTTGAGATTTCTCCAGGATATACATGCATGTGGGTGGATTGAGATTCACTGCAGATTCTTTTTTCGTCGAACAAACACATGCGACAGTAACGTTGAAACACCTGTTCCGGAGATGCGGAAATTTCACTTTAGCGGAAACCAGACAATATAAGGTAAATGAACTCTGGAAACCAGATGTTGAAAGTTCCATGATTG